TCACTCAGATGTGCAAGATTTTGGGTGACAAAAACTTTACAATTTCCTAATCATTCAGTGATTCTTTGTACGAGTAAGTGTACCCTTAATGTAATGAACTCTAAGAGGATAATTAAGAATCATAATTATCTGAAAGGAAAACACACTGAATTAAGTTGATCTCTTAAAGAAGAACAGTACAAGAAAAATAAAGCAGTTCTGATTCAAAAAAGAACACAGATCAGTCACCATCTGTCAGCCTGAAATAGAAATTATAGAAACACAGAAGAGACCAGATGAGTTTAAAAAATATGACTACATAGGTTTAATCACAAGTATGGATGTATCCCACCATCACTCACAGTAAACAGTCTCAGGAAATGAACAACTGGCCTTCCAAATATGGAACAGATGTAGTAACTAGTATAGCATAATCTTACAGGAGTTCACTGAGGGCTCTTCACTGCCAAAAAAAGGAAATAATCATTTGTCCAAATTTCTTTAAAACTCATATCATATTTAGTGCCAAAATTATCATACATACTGATGTATCCCATACACACTTGCATTTGTGTTGAAAGTGAAAACTATATTTCTTTACATTTTATATGTATTTATTTGTACTTCACTCATTTTCCCAGTTTTTAATTAAATAAACTCATTGTTTTTTAAATGGGCTTTATCACTCTCTCCACATACAAAGAATATGAAGATATTTCAATTCAACTGGGCCCCTAGATACAGCTGCCACCATACCCCAGTTCAAGGTATGATAGCAGTTCTACCAAGGGGTGCAAGAGTAGAGAATTCACTGCAGTCTCTCCAGTTCCATTCACTGAAAGTTGGTGCCTGGTGTGGTGTGAGGGCAAAAAGGTTTCCTGGACCTGTGTTTTTTAATGGCACAATTAATTGTTAAAGATATGTAGTGGTCATTCTAGGGCAATTCTTTCCAGAGTTATGAATGAATGAATGAATGAATTGAATGTATGAGGGGTAGGCCTTCTCGGCCATTGCACTGCGGCCTCAGTGGTCTATTGTGCTTCCCCTTTTTTAATTATTCCTTCAGCAACCCCGCGCTTCAAATGAAGCACAGAATTCTGGATGTGGGGGCCATAAAAATAGTCACTTGGTTCCAAAAAGTAGTGACCCAAGTGATGTAGTCTTAAATAAGCTAAAGCCTCACATTCACACAGGATGTGTGACTGTTTTGTTTTCTGTCTGACACCTCTCACAAGTGGGATTATCACTTAGCCCCAATTTGAACAGGTGTCCTTTGACGTGACAGTGTCCTGTAAGTAGTCCTACCACACATCATAGCTGGTTCCTGTTTAGCTTCAACAGTTCCTTCACTCTTTTAGTGGAAGGTCCTCGTATGAGTCCCTTTGCTTGCCTGAGTCCAGTTAAGGATCCTCAGTATTTCTTATGTTTTATGTTAGTCCAGTCCATGATGGCCTGTTTGGCAACTCCTATAGAGATGCCACAGGCTGGTTCAGGTCCTATGAATGGATGTTCAGCTCCAATTTTAGCTAACTGGTCTGCCGCTTCATTTTCAGCAATACCCTCATGCCCTGGCACCCATATCAGTTGTACCCTGTTATGTTTGGCCAGTTCCATGAGAGTTTGGTGGCAATCCCAGACCAATTTTGAATTGATCCGGTGTTTGTCAAGCGCTTTAAGTGCAGCTTGGCTGTCAGATAGAATGTAGATGTTCCTATCTAAATTCTCCATAATATATGCTTTAATGGCATATACTTCTGCCTGGAATACTTTTGTGTACTGCCCAAGGCTGAAACTAAGTTCCACCTTGTGCCTTGGCAGTACACACCAGCTACAGTGCCCTTATTTGTCTTGGAACCATCTGTATACCTGATCAGTCCCCCTTTTCTATCGGGCCAAAACATGTCTTCCCATTCACTCCTGTCAGGAAATCTGACCGTGAAGGGTTTTTCATATACATGTCTCAGTATCATTTTGTCAGACCCCATTTGTAATATAGGTTTTTTTTCATGTCCTGAGTCATGTATGCATGGCCAAAACCATCAGATCTAGGTTTCCATTGTTCACTGCATTGGAGACGGTAAATTCCTGGCCTGGCCTCTGCCTCCAGCTGTAAATGCAGTGGGGTGAGTCCAAGGAGTATCTCCAGTGCAGCTGTTGGAGATGTTCGAAATGCTCCTGTGATACCTAAGAAAGCCAACCTTTGCAATTTGCTAAGTTCTGTCTTGCCTGTCTTGCGTTTAACTCTGGGCCACCATACTGTGGCACCATAAGTAATTATAGGTCTCACAACCGCAATATATATCCAATGTATAACGTGCGGCTGCAGTCCCCAAGTTTTACCAAACATGCTTCTGCATTTCCAAAAAGCCTTATAGGCTTTGTTAATGACTTTGTCCAGCTGCTTTTTCCATGTCAGTCCCTTGTCTAATTCTAGACCAAGGTACTTGACATCACTGGAGAGCTGGATTGTCTTATTGAAGAGAGTCGGTTCCTTAAGACCCTTTATATTTCTCTTCCTAGTAAACGGTATAATTACCGTCTTATTGGGATTGATGGAAAGGCCTGTTCTTTCACACCATTGCTGAACCATGTACAGAGATGTTTGAAGACGCTCTGATATGGTCGAATTTCCAGAGTTAACAGAAGGATGAAGACTCTATGGGGTCATTCTATGTGAAGTCATTCAGAGAGGTCTCTCACCATTTAAAAAAAATATATATATTTTGTACATTTATTTCTACATATTTTCACACTTCAAATTTCTCCCGGTACGGCCGTTTTTATAATGCGAAAAAACGCTTTTTCGGCTCAAATGGAGGTTGGCGTTATCTTCTATATCTCGATAACTATTGAAGCCAGAGACTCCAATAAGAAACCCATTTGATTCTCATGATATGAACTACAAATCATGTCATTACAAGGTTTCATGCAACTCACTTCCTCTAGGTCTAATTAAGCTCAAAACTTACCTATCGATTTTGGAAAAAACGTTATTTTTAACCTTCAAAAACAATTGGGAGGGGGAAGTATCAGATCTGTGGTTTCTAGCCTTTATTGTTTCCTACATGGGGAATATAATCACATAGGTTGAACCCGGTACCTATTTTCCAGAATTTTTCAGGAGTTTTCAAACTTTGCTCTGGGCCAAAAATCGGCCCACTCCTATTTGTTTTTGAAGGTTAAAAATAACGTTTTTTCCAAAATCGATAGGTAAGTTTTGAGCTTAATTAGACCTAGAGGAAGTGAGTTGAGTGAAACCTTGTAATGATATGATTTATAGTCCATATCATGAGGAACAAATTGGTTTCTTATTGGAGTCTCTAGCTTCAACAGTTATCGAGATATTGGAGATAACGCAAACCTCCATTTCAACCGAAAACGCGTCTTTCCGCATTATAAAGACTTCCATATTAGTTGAATATCAAAGTTGTAATTTTAACATCATGTTATTCTAGAATAGGACATTATTTGCTATGAGTTTCAAAATTCTCGGATCTTCCCCACCGTAGAAATGAGATGCTAAAAATGACCGATTTTGGGCCCAGAGAAAAGTTTGGAAGCTCCTGGAAAATTTTGGACAATAGGTACGGGGTTCAAAACTACGTGATTATATTCCTCATGTAAGTAACAACAAAGGGTAGAAACCACAGATCTGATACTTTCCCCTCCCATTGGTTTCTGAAGGTGAAAATAGCGTTCTTCCCAAAATCGATAGGCAAGTTTCAAGCTTCATTACACCCAGAGGAACTGAGTTGAATAAAAACTTGTAATGACATGATTTGTAGTCCATACCATGGGAATCAAATTGGTTTCTTATTGGAGTCTCTAGCTTCAATAGTTATCGAGATATGGGAGATAACGCAAACCTCCATTTCAGCCGAAAACGCTTTTTTTTTTCGCATTATAAAAACGGCTGTACCGGGAGAACCGAGCAGATTACAATGTTTTTAAAATATTTTTGAAGTGTGAAAGTATGTAGAAATAGGTGCTCAAAATATTAACTTTTTTGAAAATGGTGAGCAACCTCTCTGGATGACTTCACATGGAATGACCCTATGGCAGATTTCAGCAAGACTCAGCTACTGCCCACACTGCACGTGTGTCTATGCAGGCTATGGGGGCAGACTTATCAGCAGTGGTATTTGGCCAGCACGTTCATCTGATCTTAATCTTTGTGATGTTTACTTCTGGGGTTGTTTTGAGAACAAAGTTTACAGCAGTAACCCCCATACAGAAGAACTAAAAGAAAATATTCATAGGGAAACTGCAAATATTCCTGCAGCAAAACTTCAAGAGGTAAGTCAAAACCTCTACTGCCAGTGCGGGGAATGTCTATGGGCAGAGGGACAGGATTCAACACCACCCATGATCTGTGAATTGTAACTACTTCATCCTGAATGTGATCGGCCAACATGCATATTTATTCATCGGCAAAATTCGTATCCGCCTTGCAGCCAGCAGTGCATCATTCACCATGAAGCGCAGACCCATTTACAGGTCAACAAAGGTAATAACTTCCTTGTATTATTGAACAGACATGGGGACTGGGCTGATAATTGGATTTTTTAAAGTTTAAGACTCACAACTGCCAACAAATATAACAGACAAACTAATGTACACTCTATAGAACATCATATCATGTAAAGTCTTCTGTTTCCTAAGGAGCAGCTGCTAACAAGCCAGAGTTACTTTACGGCTGGCGGTGTGCCACCAGTTGCTTCATCTTGGCATAAAGCCTCTTGAGACTGATGACTAACACTTTTTTTTTCAGCTGAACCCTATGTAACATCCTCTCTAACAACAAGACAGTTTTGTCTCTTATGAATATGCTTGGCCTTTAATCAACTGTATATATCACACACATAGCATTTTATTGAAAATTCCCCTTTTGCACTATATACAACCCCTGTCAGTACAGGCTATGCAAAGCAGATTATGCCTAACTTATCTAGCTTATGCTATAACGGCAGCTTAGTCACTTGAATATTTGTATGCTTGACCACCGCCAAGTTTAAGCCTCTTATTTATATTTTCTATGTCTGGCTTACCTTGTCATACAAGGGGGTATTTGTTCATTCCCATGATTTTGTATGACTTCCACTTGTTGCCTAAATAATTTTATTATGTAATCATATAGAAAAGAAGGCTGAAAGCCATGTGCAAATTGCGGACTGGTGTGACCCTGGAAAATTTCCAATGGTGAGGAGAATTTTGTTTCGTAGGCACTGCAATTTTAAGAGGTATGTGCCACTAATTCCTATGCGGGGTAACCACAAGTCATTACTGATCTGATCAGTGTCACATGGAGGATCAGTTTAATGTTGGCGTTTAAATGATCATTTTTTAATATGGAGTAGGTTCTAATAAATGTTCTGAAGACCTTGGCTTAAATGATTCCTTCATGCAGTCTCCATGTAATCCTCTTACAGAAGATTACACCGATATATTTTACATGATTGACAAAGGGGTTATTCCATCCATTCAATGTCAGAAGAGCCTCATGGGGACAAAGTCTATGAGAAAAGAATATTGCCTGAGTCTTATCTTCATTGTTTCTTATGTTCTGGCACTCACACCATGTCTCAATAATATCAAGACCTTGCTGGAGCTTTCTCTCTTCTCTAAGTATAATTAGAATGATCAAGTCAAGGAGGATGGGGTGAGCAGGGCATATAGCACAAATGGAGGAGAAACAGAATGCATATGGGATATTGGTGGGGAAGCCAGAAGGAAAGGGACCACTGGGAATACCAAGGCATAGGTGGGTGGACAATATTAAAATGGATCTTAGAGAGATAGGTAGGGATGGTATGGATTGAAGTGATCTGGCTCAGGATTGGGACCAGTGGAGGGCTACTGTGAACACAGTAATGAACCTTCGGGTTCCATAAAATGGTGGGAAATTCTTGAGTAACTGCAGATTTGGCTTCTCCTCAAGATGGGGTCAGCTCCAAAAGTAAGTAAGTAAGTAAGTAAGTAAGTAAGTAAGTAAGTAAGTAAGTATGTCCAAGTCTGCTTCAAACCCATGATTCATTTTGGTGTCAGGTTTTCTAATGAACAATATCCAAATACAAGGGAACTTCTCAGAGTTTTGCAGAGGCAGATACTGAGCGATACATGCTGGAAGACTTGGTTAAATTCTGTGTCAAGATACATTTTAATTATGGTTTGAGTGCTGTAGTTTCCTGCTAACAGAAGCTGTGATAGACTCTTTGCATACAACCAGACTGTCTTGATGTAATCAGTAAAGTACTTCCATTCTACAATGTTTTAGTTGTCATTACTGTCTGCATCACATGCATAATCTTATATGTTTGTAATGTCAGCTTGAATCTCCTTTAGTATCTGTTCTGAGGCTTGTAACTATTCATGCATGCTGTATGTGATTAAAAACGTCTCTGCTGTGTACATTACACTGTGAATACACAGTACTGAATACTACGTGAGTACACATTCATTACACTTAGTTGCAACAAGCAAAGGAGCAACAGCAGATAAAAGGGATAGAGTGACTGGAGCCTATCATAAAAAATTCATCTCAAGTTGTCAGGTAGCCATGAAGTGACAGCCAAATGTTTGGTGACAGGGTTCATGAAAGTATTCCAAGAAACCTTCATAATGTTAAAAGGCACAATGGACCAGAGTCCTTAAGATGCTGACAGAAATTATGCAATCCATGATGTTCACAATAGCCCATTATTGGATCCTGTCCTGAGCGAATGAAATAAATGCCACAATTAAATAAATTATTTAACAGGTTTATTTCATGATTTCTAATAACAGATATTTAGGACCAAAAGTTAGCTGAAGGTGCCTGAATTTGGGAGGTCAGCACATCATAACAAAATGTAGTTTTTCAGCCTACAGTTTAATTCTGGGATGATAACATAAAATAGTAAGATAAAGTTGTCCCTGTGCTCAATGAATTAAACACTACACCATAAAGTCATATGGGGAGTGGATGTATAGATCCACATTTTCTTGGCCTTGACACTAGCTGGAGGTGAGTGGTCAACTCCACGCCCTTGCTGCTTTATCCCCAGGGAAAAAGCCCCTAATACCCACTGGATACGAGGTTGGGTGGACCCCAGAGCTGGTCTGGACAATTTGGATAAGAGAAAATTCTTGACCCTACCGGGACTCAAATCAGAATCCCTCAGTCATCCAGCCTGTAGCCAGTTTCTATACCCACTATGCTACCCAGGCTCCTAATATAAAATAGTTCAAAAAAATATTCTAATTAATTTTCAATTATTCACATGCCATGTTAGTTTCATATAGTTACTCTCTACAAACTGCACAGCAAAATTATGAAATATAATATTTGGAAGACATGCAGCAATAAATGATTTATCTTACCATGTTTTCCTGTGCTTTAAGCTCCTTACTAGATTTCACCAGTCGGGTAACCAAAGCTTTGAAAACACTAGCCATTATTTGACCCTCAATACCACGAGTGCCCCCACCACCAAGGCCAGCTCCAAAATTGGTTGCATAGCCTCCCTGAGATACAACATCAGGTGATTTGCTGCAGCTACGCTTCTGATCTGTGAAAATGAAGCCATAAAAAGATAATGAGAAAATTTTTAGTGCTGAAAATTTGAGAGATTCTTCATTGCCACTTAGTGCAAGTGAATTTATACCATGGAAATAATGTGAACGCACACATAATACTTGTATTCTGTAAGGAGTGTTTATCTTTTAAAGTATACAGTTGTATGTCATTTCCAAAGAAGATAAAATACAACTGGAGTTCTATAGAATAATAGAATAGAAAAATATATAAAGAGAAGGAAAAGAAAGATATTTGAGATCTAAGGGTCTTACAGTTCTGAATATTAATAAGACTACACCATGAAGTCTGGTAGACAAGCACCAATACTTTATTCCTCTACCCTGAAGATATAGACAGCAGGTACCTCCGAAGTGTTGGTGCCTAACTACCAGACTACACAGCTACACATCTCAGAAGACAGCAGTCTTAGGAAAGATATTTAAGAGACTTCCTCATAAGAACCATCTACAATCAGTCATCTCAAATTCTTGGATCACATTCATATCTTTAAAAGACGCCTTTCAAATCT